TTCAAGTGAGGTGAGAAGTATATAAAGATATGTATAACTACAGTAGGTGGAAAAATATTATTGTGAATGATATATCGTAAAATTATTTGCAATAATCAAATGGTGTGGTGACCCACAGGATCTAAGAGATGGTCAGCACTAGATCATACACGGAATCAGGACAGAAGCGGAAGTAAATATAACCAACTACCTATTCATGCCTAAACTTAACCAGACCCAGCCTTAACCCTAACCTTAACCAGTCACCATTTATTAGTCTAAAACTAATTCAAAAGTAGGATTGTTACTTCCACTTCCGTCCCGATTCCGTAAATAATCTACAGTAGTGCCGACTGAGCTGGGGATGTGAGATAATCCCTCCTTCAATAGTTCAGTGTGATGTCATATCCCACTTCCGGGTCCAAAGTTACAGCAACATAATAGTTATAGGATGCTTTTCTTTTTTTTAGGTGATGTTCACACTTATTGATCATGTTTATTATTATTTTACTACTATTTTGAAACTGTTGCATTCGTTTCTTGCTCTAATACCGTTTGGTTCTGCTATCACTTTTCACGTGCATGTATTTTTGGCCTGTCACATCTTTAGATCAGCTTTTGCAGACAGAAAAAGGAAAAAGAGGACCACCATCACTCTCAGCCCAAAGTGCCACATAGGGAATCACGAGGCTCTTTCCTTCAAGAATCCAACAGAAAAAAATACTTTCTAATATGATCAAGATAGTAAGCATTTGGTGTTCGAACAACACTTTCTGTTAGTAGATTTATTTAGTATTCCAGCTTTCAGTGATTATTCAGGAGCACTGTAGAGTTTGGTGGTTTTTGTCACAAAATAAACAATATTTTTTTTAAATGAAAGTGAACTCAGGAGTAAGTAATTGTGAAAGCACCCTCTATTGGTTTGAACAAATGCTCAGTTTTGTTCAAATAATAATGAAAAAAGCCATTGTAAGTGTTTGAGGCTAGGCTAATACAGAGCTAGGAGCTGTTATTCCTTAGCTTTTAACTATGCTAAGGTGATGTCAACAACTCCAAAAAAGGAAGGAAAGGACAGAGAAGTGTCGTAAAGTGGTAGTTAAGCAAAAAAAAAATATATAGCCTGTACCCGGAAGTGCTGTTTGATATAAAATGGATGTTTGGATGATGTGGCAAAATGACAGAGAAAGACAAGAGAATAAACAACGATATGGATTCATAAAGGCATTTTTAACAAATAAATATCCGCAAATGTGAGCCACAGTTGGCATATAGATGTTCGATGGGGGAATCATTGTTACATCCTTGTAGTGTAACTGAGGCAAAGCAATAAGACTTACAAAACTGTAACAAAACAAGATGCAATAGTCTTTGAAACGTGGCAGTAACGGCCTGTTTTTCTCCTTCCCCGCACTGCCTTTGTATTGGCATTGCTACATCTACTGCCACAATAGCACCACCAGCTGTAAGTAAGCAAACGTGAGTGAGACAGGGGAGACTTCTGTACATGCACGAACCAAAACAGACCACAGAGCCACTTACACTTCACATTACTGACGGCAGGGATGTCACGATCGAACAGACTCGCAAGCAATTGCTGTCATATGGATTTTTTGAGGAGGGTTGTGAAAATGTTAGAAGCACCGATTTTTCTGATCAATACAAAAGTAAATAATCTACAATATACAAAACTGTTCAATGTCGTGGAGACACAAAAAACATGATTTAAAATGGCTGGCTGGCTGCTTAAGCTGGATGATTTAACGGTTCGAACATTTTCAGTGGTATGATTTTTCTCGTATAAGTGGCCATTTTGAGGTCTTTTGAGCACTCGATGAATACATTATTAGTATTATCTTTCTTGTCATAGCCATCATTATGAGAACTTTTAATCATATAAAAATGTTTGACTTGTGCTGAATGTCAACAATATATGATTGTATCACTCTGAAACCAACAGGACTTTTGACCACTTGAAAGAGCAATATTTTGTTGCTTTGAACAGAAATTGTTCACTTTTTAGCAACCCAAGAATATGTATGGGATTTACTAAAACTTCTCAATGGTAGCAATACATATATATTTTCAAATATAATTATTTAATCATTTTTTAACATCCCTCGCTTCATGGGTTCCAGACACATATTTTTCCTGCAAATTTGGCAACTTTTCAGCTACAATTTAAACTCATAATCAGTGTTGGATTTTGTTTTGTTCTTAGCATCAAAAGCATGTACAATGCCTTCCTCTTTAATATATTGAAATAACAAAATACAAAGTTGGAACCCCTGTGATATCAAAAAGTTTAAGCCAACATAATTAGAATGGGATTTTACAATTTCTACTTAACAATGATTGTGGCGTGTATGGAATTAAAATGATTTACAAAAACTCCAAAGGTTGAAACATTCGTCATCGTGACATCCCTACAGGAGAGTGGTTAAGGCCCAGAATATACCTCAAAAAGGGAGCTTTCATTCTCAAAAGTCCACGTTGTTGTTCACAAAAGACGAGAGACAGAAAACTCGTTCCTGTCCCATAGTGCAAATAATTTCAATCTCAAGATTTTCCAGTCGCTAGGATTCACAGCATGTACTACACTGAAAACACATCTTCACTAGTTAAAATTACTTGAAAACAGAATAGAATCCCTGATTTGCCGTATTTGAACTAATTTAGACAATTTTACTAAATGGTGCTGGATTAAATATATTTAAAATATAGTCCTGACCTATTTTACAACCAAATTATTTTGACAAAACACAAATTAAATCAAGATTTTATCAAACTCCACTATTTAAAACTTGTCATACAGGAAAAAAATATATATAATTAATTGCTACCGAGCTACTCAGTCTAAGATTAATATTCTGAATTCAAAATGTTTTAACTAGCATAAGAATGATTTTTCTTTCTTATTTTTTATTTTTTTGCTGTGTACAGGCGATTGACAGCACCAGTGTCCCTATATGGAGCAAAACAGACCAACCTCCACTTGTTCTAATGGTAACAATCTCATTCATTTTTTCTGTTGACAGACATTCTGTGAAAAGTTTGTAAGCTTGCACAAGGCCAAAGAGCAAAACAGCGCTGAATATATTTAAAAATCTGATTAGGAAATTGTATCAAGAAATTACAGATTTGTTTATATGTTCCAATTTGTAAATCATCCATAAAGGTCATCTGCCCCTTATGGACCAATACCAATATGTTTTCTGTTTTATTTCTTGTGTTTGAACTGTTTATTCTCTGATCTGTGTTGGCGAATTGTGTTGTGTAAAGTCCTCCAAGATTAATTCAATTAAGATTTAATTGAATTGAATAAAATGGGTTTTTCTTTGAAATTGGTGTCAGAGTCAGACTCAAAAGAAACAAAAGTGAAACTAGCTTGCGCTGATGTGGCTTTTAACATTTATTATTTCAAATATTCAAGTCGTCTATGAGAAAAATGTATGAGAAATTGACTTCCTATGTGAACTTTACAGTGGGCGGGACAGTTGAGCTCTTTATCAGGCCACATATGACACTGGGTGGTCCATTTCACAGGGAGAGGAATCACAAGTTTTATTGGTCTAGAATTGTCTCATTTTTTAGCGTGAACTTTCATATCTCCTAAAAATAAAACACCACATTTGGATGCAGTGTTTGGGTGGATGCACGACTCCACCCAAGCAGACTGCAAACATAAATGCACGAGTAAAAATGACTTGAGTTGAGTAGTTTAAACTAGGACAGCTGGCTCACATCGACTTTCCCATTGAAAGGAATTTTGAACCAAAAAAAAAACAATAAGTAATGTCATTTAAGCTGCAATAAGTTTTGTATTCCCAGTCATGGAGGATGTTACTTGTTTTTACTTCTGTTCCACAAGACTTCATAATGCGGGAACATATTGAGATTCATGCATCATTGAGTAATCTTTGCTCTCCTGCAGACTAGACAGCATTGCTCCACTTCCCCCAGTGTCACCCTACTACTACACTTCTACTGTTCTTTTTATACATTTGTGAAATTGAATTGCGTACATAGATAATATGGCAGAAATAAATCTACATTCTACCATGATCTTCTGCTATAAAACTATATTGTGACCAGACCTAAATCAAACACTGTCTAATATGGAAGTCCGTGACCTCTTTTATGGTCTTTCAGTGTGGAATAGCTTTTATTACTTTTAATCATACTCGGAATTCAAGTCATTTTAACTCATGCTATAGTGGAAAATAATTTGATCAGACTAACGTGTTTCTAATGGATTTAAAACTAGAGAGTCTGAATATATTGAGGAAAGTTTTAAGATTGTAAACCAGTGATATTCCCTCGCTCCTACCTCCTGGCTCCTTACTGTGTTTAAAGCTAAACCACTAACCGACTCGGGCAGGCTTCTTGGAGAGTCATGAGTGTTCTTCGTACTTTCCCACACGTTTTTTTCTCTTTTTTTTTTTGGCAATAGTCATTTTCTCACTTGTGGCACAAACGATCAGCAGCTTCGATACAGAAAAGTCCTTATCCTTTAGTAGATAATCGGTAAAAATGTGAAGGATTTGAGTCTCCCAGGGCAGCGTGTGGCGGTAGTGCAGGGAGGAGGGGTGACCACAGAGTCTTTTTTTATCTGGATACAAGGACGCAAAGGCAGAAATCAAGGTTAAGTAAAGGGGAGAAGAAAGAGAAAAGATAACAGGACTAGAGGAAAAGAGTCTCTATATTTCAATATCTATACCGGGAAAAGGGGGACGCACAAAGCAAATGATCAGGAGGTAATGTTACTACTAAGATGAGAATATTCAGAACCATGATAATAATAATAAATAGAATATTAATTAAGAATATTAATAACCATAATAATTTTCATCAGGATAATAATAATATTACAGAATAAATCTCAGATTTTATATTTTTTTCACATTTTCTCCATTGAAATACAGTGATCTCCTCAGAGCAGACCAAAGAGGATTCAGCCTCCGCTGGCTCCGATTGGCTGTTGCATATGACATCACAGCTAATGGCGACCAGGTAGACATGCATCACTTCCTGTCCCCGCCCGTTTCCTGTCCAGACAGGAAGTCCTGGCACTGCCATGGTAATCGGTAGCGAGTGACATTTAAATCTATGGAGAAATGCAATAGTGAGTATTTTATCTTTTATGTTTTCAGTAAAAGAGCTCCGAATCTGACCTGCATCATAGCCGTCCGATGACCATGACGTCCACCACTTCTCCCTTATGCAGCTCAACGTACTGCTCCGTCTTCGGGGGCAGCATGAGCAGACCATTGGCGCTTCGCATTGACATTAGCCGACTTGACACTTGGTTACCTGAGGAGAGGAAATACACGCATAAATATATACATATACAGTGGGGCAAAAAAGTATTTAGTCAGCCACCGATTTTGTAAGTTCTCCCACTTAAAATAATGACAGAGGTCTGTAATTTTAATCATAGGTACACTTCAACTGTGAGAGACAGAATGTGAAAACAAAATACAGGAATTCACATTGTAGGATTTTTAAAGAATTTATTTGTAAATTATGGTGGAAAATAAGTATTTGGTCACTTTGGCTCTCACAGACCTGTAACTTCTTCTTTAAGAAGCTCTTCTGACCTCCACTCGTTTCCTGTATTAATGGCACCTGTTTGAACTCATCTGTATAAAAGACACCTGTCCACAGCCTCAAACAGTCAGACTCCAAACTCCACTATGGCCAAGACCAAAGAGCTGTCGAAGGACACCAGGAAAAGAATTGTAGACCTGCACCAGACTGGGAAGAGTGAATCTACAATAGGCAAGCAGCTTGGTGTGAACAAATCAACTGTGGGAGCAATTACCAGAAAATGGAAGACATACAAGACCACTGATCATCTCCCTCGATCTGGGGCTCCACGCAAGATCTCATGCTGTGGGGTCAAAATGATCATGAGAACGGTGATCAAAAATCCCAGAACCACACGGGGGGACCTGGTGAATGACCTGCAGAGAGCTGGGACCAGAGTAACAAAGGTTACCATCAGTAACACACTACGGCGACAGGGAATCAAATCCTGCAGTGCCAGACGTGTCCCCCTGCTGAAGCCAGTGCATGTCCAGGCCCGTCTGAAGTTTGCCAGAGAGCACGTGGATGATACAGCAGAGGATTGGGAGAATGTCATGTGGTCAGATGAAACCAAAGTACAACTGTTTGGTATAAACTCAACTCGTCGTGTTTGGAGGAAGAACACCACCATACCTACTGTGAAGCATGGGGGTGGAAACGTCATGCTTTGGGGCTGTTTTTTTGCTAAGGGGACAGGACGACTGATCCGTGTTAAGGAAAGAGTGAATGGGGCCATGTATCGTGAGATTTTGAGCCAAAACATCCTTCCATCAGTGAGAGCTTTGAAGATGAAACGTGGCTGGGTCTTCCAGCATGACAATGATCCCAAACACACCGAGTGGCTCCGTAAGAAGCATTTGAAAGTCCTGGAGTGGCCTAGCCAGTCTCCAGACCTCAACCCCATTGAAAATCTGTGGAGGGAGTTGCTCGGCGACAGCCCTGAAACATCATTACTCTCGAGAAGATTTGGATGGAGGAATGGGCCAAAATACCAGCTACTGTGTGTGCAAACCTGGTAAAGACCTATAGTAATCGTTTGACCTCTGTTATTGCCAACAAAGTTTATATTACAAAGTATTGAGTTGAATTTTTGTTATTGACCAAATACTTATTTTCCACCATAATTTACAAATAAATTCTTTAAAAATCCTACAATGTGAATTCTTGGATTTTTTTTCACATTCTGTCTCTCACAGTTGAAGTGTACCTATGATGAAAATTACAGACCTCTGTCATTATTTTAAGTGGGAGAACTTGCACAATCGGTGGCTGACTAAATACTTTTTTGCCCCACTGTACATACGTATATACATATGCATACACATATACATATATATACAGATATTTAACCCTAACCTCTAATCTCCAACCCCTCATCCTAACCCTCCCCAACTTTGACAGTGATCCTGGACTATTGATTACTTTAAACAAGTGACAGCATGCCCCACTTTTGGCTGTTGCTTCATCCTGCATATTAAGTGTTGGATTAAACATGTATTTTCTCGATATTTTGCACCACATCCTCGTTTCCTCTCTGGGTACAGACCTGTGCTTTGGGCCCAGGGCAGGGGCTCCTGGTGATGCCAGGTGAGAATACAGCGATGATACTCCGGCCTGGGGTCAAGCTTCACATCACACGATAGCTACAAACACGCAGAGCAAGAAAAAGGTCAATCGTATTAGTCCTGGTTTAGTAGTAGACCAATAAGTCTTGGATATGAAAGAGGACATTTATTGACACAATCAGTGTCATTAGATGTACTCTTTAATATCTATTTGCATTATGCCTAATATATCAAGCCATAATAAAGATTCTCGTTATAACAATGTGTAAGACTACAAAGTACCAGAAAATGAACTGAAGAGTGCAAACTGAAACTGTAATGATGTGGGAATGAGTATATGTAAGGAAACTGGTTTAGGGTTTAATGTAATAAGGTATACATTTCCACTTAATTGTTTTAAATGTACTGTTTTGGTCGACCCACTTAGAAGCCAATGCCACTTTCTGAGAGGTGACGTTTACAAAGCACTTACAAATCATAGGGAATATTTGAATGTATGGACTTTTGTAAATAAACGAGAATTGAATGATTGATTGCAAGTTTAAATATTAGGGCTGTCAAACGATTAACATTTTTTAGTTGATTAATCGCACAGAAATGGTGAGTTAACTCACGATTAATCGCATTTTTAACATTCTATTTCAAATCCACTCCAATTGAAGTTAAATGAGATTATCAAATATAATGACACATTGTCATTCATACCAAATGTACTTAAATCTGTTTGCTTTTGGGTAAAACCAACATGAGCTGTTAATGAAAGGGGGAAATTTACATACCCAGCTTTAATTCAGCGTTTCAGTTTAGTTTAGTTTCAGGAGGAGACAGGGACACTCCTGCGCTGTATTTGCGCGCACAGGTTACGCACAGGTTGCAAAGACACGAACACAACATGCAGACAATAGTTCTGTGGCGTGTTTGGTCTTATGACCATGTTACCGCGGCGCCATTCACTCACAGCGGCTCACAGCCGTGTTGTTGTGAGCGGCTCACAGTCAGAGCGGCCACGGAGGAGGCGGACCTCAGTTCACAGCAAACAACAGCCCCGCGGTGGCGCGCGTATTCTTTTAAAACATGAATCCCCAGAGGGCCTACCTGCTCTGATGCCATCTCACACGCAGCATTCTGAGTGATATTATGGATAAATGGGCGGGTCATTCGGACATGCGTTAATGCGTTACGTTTTCTTTTTACGCGTTAATGAAAAATTTAATTAACGCGAGTTAACGCGATAATTTTGACAGCCCTATTAAATATGCATGCCTTTATTTCTATTTTTTCCTTTTTTTTAATAACTTTGCACCACATACCAAAGCAAATTCCTAGTTTGTTACTTATAATAGCAATACAAATAAGAACCAGGAAGATGGCTACTTTTGCTCAAATGGCTGGTGTATAGTTCTATTACATACAGAAAATAGCACTTTAACAACATATTATTCAGTTCATAAATATTCATATTCAGTCCTCTTGCAGTGATTTTATTGAATACATACCCTAGCTTTAATAATTGTGGGTCTAGGGTCCAGAATTCCCTGCATCTTCCTCAGAGCAGGAATAACAAAGAGATTACAAGTGACCACAGCCGACACTGGGTTTCCTACAAAACAAGACAACACCAATTTTAACTTGTCCGTCCATGCGACACGTTTGTACTGTGAATAATTTTTGGGGTTACATAGGAAAGTACCATAATGTACTTGGTGGCTAGAGGTGTGGAGGGTCAGGTTTTCTGGTCAATATAGTAGTTTACCAAAAAATAACAAATTATATTTGATAGAAGGACCTCTAAAAACATTCAAAGGAAAACCAAAAGATTCCTGAAGTACCTGGCAGAGCAAAGATGAGTTTCCGTGCGCCGTCAATATCGCATGTGGCAAAGGTAGTAGGAAGACTAGAAAACATAACAGGAAGATGTTTAGTAAGACACAAATGAGTGTTAATGTTGGCACCTTAACATGACTTTGAGAATATTTATTTTGGCCTGTCATTTCTTAAACAGAAACTACAGGCGGAATTAAAAAAAAATAGAATATTGTTAATTTATTTCTGTAGTTCAACTTAAAAGGGGCAGTATGTATGAATTAATCTACAAACACACCTATTGTGTGTCCCCAGATAACAGGTCACATGTACAAATCATATGTTGCCTTTTCTGAACAAAAGTAGAGTTATTCTTTATTGAAAATAAAATGGGCATAAAGTGTTATTATGAAGTTCTCATTTGGCCAGTTTCTTAGGTGAAATGAAGTTAGGCTGTACATATTTCACAAACAAAAAATAGCACCACACATTTGTTTTAATGAAAGCAAAAAATAAGTAGTCAGATATTACACACAGAGTTACTGTACTGAGTAACAGAGTTAGGCTGAGTTTACATGGAGACAATGTGGCAGTAAAACGGTATAGTTGGATGTCGGTTGCTACCAACCGTTCATACGAAGACTGTGTTCCAGGGGGGTGAAAACGTAAGTGTTCAGATCCAGCCTGCAGAGTGGGACAACTCAGAAACGCTGCACAGTGGGGGCTCTCTTTCACACCCGCGAGGGAAAAAGGTGTGAAATCCCCCTCTGCTCTGACCCCCGCCTCCGCGCTGCTCCCCACACGTAAATTTGGACATGCGCAGTAGCGGAGAACAAACATCAACAACAATGGCGGCGGTCACACTAACTAGCTTCGTGGGCTTCCAGCGCGGCACAGAGGATAATTCTACTCCTTCGTTCGTCCAAACGAGACCACGCAAAGTAAGTAAGTAAAGTTTATTTATATAGCGCCTTTCACAGACCAGGGTCACAAAGCGCTTTACACATTAAAATACAAAATACACATACAAGTCAGATAAAACAAACACAGAAAACACAATTTACATTCACAGAGGCCTATGAACAATGGTGCGAGAAAGCGTGTCCAAACAAATGTGTCTTTAGTTGGGACTTAAAATCATCAACAGTCTCTACGATCCGCAGAGACTGAGGAAGCTCATTCCAAAGGCGAGGAGCAACTGCCTGGAAGGATCTGTCTCCTCTGGTTTTGAAACGAGTCCGGGGGTCCATCAACAGGTTCTGAGTAGATGACCTCAGACTCCTGTTGGAGTCTGAGGTCCTCTACTCTAGGTTTAGTTTCTATTTTCACAGCTGCTGTTAAAATGCAGAATGATGTTGGTGCGTTCTGAGGGTCTGGCACAGGAAGTGAGTACACTGCCGAGAGGGGGGGCTGGGCACGGGGCTGGGGGTTGTGTGAGTGTTGTAAAGTTTCTCTGCCCACTACTGGCCGGGCGCTAGAACTACATCGTTTTTTCAACCTCATGTGAACGCAGAGAAATTTGCATTAGGAGCCTGGTCGTTTCTGTTAATAGACTGGAAACGTCTGCGCAGCGTCTCAGTATAAACAGGGCCTTAGTTTTGTTGATAATTTTACAGAGTTGCTTTCAGTTGTGTGCACAGATTTTGATAGTTTAGTTATTACAGTGATTTGAATATGCATGTGGATAATGTTAAAGAGCGACTAAACACCTGTACCCAGCCTCACTCCGCCCACATGAACATTTGAAAATTTTCTCTAAAAAGGGCGTTGCCTGGAGGACCAAGGGACAAGAAGGGGGGCTTAGAGCTGGGCGTGGTCTGGGCTGTGATTGACAGCTCACTTGTCACACACACAAAAAACAGACAGTTGTCATTGCTACTTAAAGAAATAGTTTACACACCAGAAAGTCTAATACCACCCTTGTTTACACACTATTTTTTTTTTATAGCTACACACCTAAACTTAATCCACAGAATTATCTCAGCAGCAGTGGCTGTCAGATTATGTAATTTAATATTAATCCACTAGATGTCGCCAGAATACTCCAACCAGCTACTGGTGTGTGTGAGAGTTGGATGGGTTTATATCACTTGCACAGAGACACACGTCACACCAACTGATGTCACATACAGTGGGGCAAAAAAGTATTTAGTCAGCCACCGATTGTGCAAGTTCTCCCACTTAAAATAAGAGGTCTGTATTTTCATCATAGGTACACTTCAACTGTGAGAGACAGAATGTGAAAAAGAAATACAGGAATTCACATTGTAGGATTTTTAATGAATTTATTTGTAAATTATGGTGGAAAATAAGTATTTGGTCAATAACAAAAAATCAACTCAATACTTTGTAATATAACCTTTGTTGGCAATAACAGAGGTCAAACAATTACTATAGGTTTTATTTACCAGGTTTGCACACACAGTAGCTGGTATTTTGGCCCACTCCTCCATGCAGATCTTCTCGAGAGCAGTGATGTTTTGGAGCTGTCGCCAAGCAACATGGACTTTCAACTCCCTCCACAGATTTTCAATGGGGTTGAGGTCTGGAGACTGGCTAGGCCACTCCAGGACTTTCAAATGCTTGTTCCGGAGCCACTCCTTCATTGCGCGGGCGGTGTGTTTGGGATCATTGTCATGCTGGAAGACCCAGCCACGTTTCATCTTCAAAGCTCTCACTGATGGAAGGAGGTTTGGGCTCAAAATCTCACGATACATGGCCCCATTCATTCTTTCCTTAACACGGATCAGTCGTCCTGTCCCCTTAGCAGAAAAACAGCCCCAAAGCATTACGTTTCCACCCCCATGCTTCACAGTAGGTATGGTGTTCTTGGGATGCAACTCAGTCTTCTTCTTCCTCCAAACACGACGAGTTGAGTTTATACCAAACAGTTCTACCTTGGTTTCATCTGACCACATGACATTCTCCCAATCCTCTGCTGTATCATCCATGTGCTCTCTGGCAAACTTCAGACGGGCCTGGACATGCACTGGCTTCAGCAGGGGGACACGTCTGGCACTGCAGGATTTGATTCCCTGTCGTCGTAGTGTGTTACTGATGGTAACCTTTGTTACTTTGGTACCAGCTCTCTGAAGGTCATTCACCAGGTCCCCCCGTGTGGTTCTTGGATTTTTGATCACCGTTCTCATGATCATTTTGACCCCACAGCATGAGATCTTGCGTGGAGCCCCAGATCGAGGGAGATGATCAGTGGTCTTGTATGTCTTCCATTTTCTGATAATTGCTCCCACAGTTGATTTGTTCACACCAAGCTTGCCTATTGTAGATTCACTCTTCCCAGTCAGGTGCAGGTCTACAATTCTTTTCCTGGTGTCCTTCGACAGCTCTTTGGTCTTGGCCATAGTGGAGTTTGGAGTCTGACTGTTTGAGGCTGTGGACAGGTGTCTTTTATACAGATAACGAGTGGAGGACAGAAGAGCGTCTTAAAGAAGAAGTTACAGGTCTGTGAGAGCCAGAGATCTTCCTTGTTTGAAGTGACCAAATACTTATTTTCCACCATAATTTACAAATAAATTATTTAAAAATCCTACAATGTGAATTCCTGTATTTTGTTTTCACATTCTGTCTCTCACAGTTGAAGTGTACCGATGATGAAAATTACAGACCTCTGTCATTATTTTAAGTGGGAGAACTTGCACAATCGGTGGCTGACTAAATACTTTTTTGCCCCACTGTATTTATGCAGTTTATGAGTTAATAAAAGTTGATTTGGTGTTTAGTTGTCCTTTAATAACAGAAATGCATATAAGCTGAGTTCTGTGCTTGAATCCTTTGGTCTCACTCAGCACGTGAGTGGCCCCACCCACTAAGGGGAGGAATATTTCAAATGTAAACATGGTCGATGTTGCTCGTTCAGATCATTTTGGTGTATTTTTTGACATGTGTTTCAATAACAAACCCAAGTGGATTTAAAGTTGTTTGAATTGATCCAAGACGACGCATAAATGAAAATGAGGGTGAACTATTTATGGGAATGATAAACTCTGAGAATGCATCGTGTTCTACTGCAGATGAACAGTTTAACTCTGTCACCTCTAGTGTTTTCTCGATACTGTTGCCCCTGTGAAGGTCAGGGCAATGAAGAGAAGACAAAGTCCTAGAGAGTCGAGTGGAGGTGGCGCAAGTCCAAACTCCAGGTAGATTACGATATCTTCAAAGATAAGTTGTGCTACGTGGTACAAGCGAAAGGCATTTTTCTAAAATGATTGAAGGCTGCAGTAACAATCTGCGTGTTCTGTTTTCAACAGTTAATAGATTAACAAAAACGCCTGTTTAGCTGCCATTAGAGCTTACTTCCAATAGTAAATGTAATGAGTTTGCAAATTTTTTCAATGACAAGGTTCAAGTCATCAAAAACGCCATTGTTTCCAATCCACAGATAACAATCCAACAACCATGCTCGAGCAAACTCCCTTTGCACCTGTAGATGATACATCTGAGATAATCACAAGTCTGAGCTCCTCCACATGCAGCCTGGATGTACTACCCACTAGATTTTTTTCACTCACACAGATAGTAAACATGTCCCTTCTTTCTGGATTATTCCCAAAGGCCCTGAAAACTGCAGTCATCAGGCCCCTTCTATAAAAAAAAGAGCAGTTTAGATGCCACGGTGATTAAGAACCAGTGTCCCATCTCAAATCTGCCATTTATGGGGAAAGTCCTTGAAAAAGTTGTCAACCAACAGCTTACTAGATTTATTATAATCAACAACCACAGCACTGAGACTGCTCTCATCAAGGTAACAAACGATATCCGGCTGAACACTGACTCAGGCAAAGTCTCAATCTTAATCTTGTTAGATCTGAGTGCAGCTTTTGACACTGTCGATCATGAGATCCTCATACAGAGACGAGAGGACTGGGTTGGTGTCGCTGGCACCGCCCTAAGTCGGTTTAAGGCCCCGTTTCAATTCTGATGGCCCTACAGGTGTTAGTGTCCTCACCAGAAAAGTGCCTTCCCATAGGGGAGTGCACTCACATGATATTCTCCCTAAGAATTGGGACACCCCTGGATCTAGGGGACAACATGAAAATGACGCAGCAAACGTGTTCCACGTCACACATATTA